AAACCGTTCACATATATTCATGAAATTTATTGCCAACACTATGAGTTGTTGACATTTTTCTTATCGTCTTCACATACAGATTTTTTATTCTTTTGGGCTTGGATTGAATGCACTTATTTAAACACAGATACATATGGATACATGTTTAGATACATGTTCATTCAGACATGCATTGCATATGTGTTCGTTATCAATGAAATATCGGTGGCTCATGTAAAAAACATCTCAGTCCAATGGTTAATGCGCACAATTGTCGATATACATGCCCTGATATGTGCTGGAATGTGAGCATAGAGATATCAATTTTTTATACTCAATCATTTAATATTTCAAATTTAGTTCGAACTCACTTTCATCATCTACTTGATTAAGGACACACTCCTATCAACGAAGGCTATAAATAAGGAACTCTTTTCTCGATTCGACAAGCATTCCTTATTTAACTTTTATATGATGAGATAATTTAGTTTATTTTTTTATGGCATCATCGAGAAAAATGCCGTCTCTGAAGATATTAAACTCAAGGAATATTACTGGAACTATTCTAGTTTTAGAAGTGAACAATAGTTTTTGTAAGCTCTTCCAATTTTAACAGAGAGCACAAATCTAAGTATTTTTGCTAATAAAATAAATTTCATTAAATATTAATGATTTCAATTTTTTCTATTCTTAATGTAGAATAGAAATCTTTCAAATCTAAATATTATAGATAAAAAGACAATAATTGGCTGTCTTTTAAACAAAAAGATTGAGAAATACTCTACCAATACCTTACAAATCTGATTACACTTTTGTACCCATCATTTACTTAAGCTTATAATTATGTCTAATATCTATAGTTCTATTAACTTTTTTAACAGGTTAAGATACTTTTTTTTTAAATTTCAACGCTCAAAGACGCGGCCAGTTCCATAATAATACTATTCAAAACACTTGTAAAAGATGTAAAATACACTATTTTTCCCAATGTTAAACAAATGTTTACGAAAAATACTGAAGATATGGTGGCCGGTGCGTATGGTCAGTACCGATATATGGGAACGCACAAAACAAATACAAGCTGCCGCTGAAATTAAAAGAGCAAAATGGAAGTGGATTGGACACGCCTACGAAAGCAGCATCCTGTGTAATAAATCAAGCTCTAGCATGGAGCCCCAGCTAAAACATAGACCAGGAGCTTAAAGACGCATATTACTCCTGAAATTAAATGACGAGAGAAGCAGGCAACAGAGTTGGCTTTAGAGGAATTGTTGCGGCATTGTGCTGTACAAGAAGAAAAGGACAGTAGTAAGTAATTATATACAGAAAGTTATAGAAATTTTGGATCAAATTTTTGAATGCATATATAGTCAATAGAAATAGTCAAAAGATTTTTAAGTTTACACTCGTGATAGTTTAAAGATAAAATATGTGGATTTAGAACCGGCATTACAAAACATAATGTATTAGTAAAATTTTGCCGAAAAATATGATGTCTGACCTCCAATCCTAGATAGATTGAACTCTACTATAATAAAATGAAATAAAATATTGAAAAATAAATAATAGAAATCAATACAAATTGAAATTAAGTAAACTAATATTGTTTCTAAATATAAAGCTACCAAAAATAGCTTCCCTAATCTGGGTCTCACATAAGCATATAAAAAAGGATATACCGAGTTCGATTCCTGGTACTTGGAGTCTCAAAAATAATTATTTACGAATAATTAAATACAAGAATTATTTCCAAGACCACTTATGAGGGGTATTTGGCAATACTCGAAATAGCTGTATGGTCAACCAAAAATTCAATTAATTAAAATAATATAAAAAATAAAATTTTTGTTGTTGTGTTTCACTACTGTTCGAAAAAACCTCTTTATAAAATTATATATAAATAAATATGATATAAGTATATAATATAGTTATATAAGAAAAATACGTATAAAATAAAAGGGTCTTATAACTTAATATATATTAACTAAATAGATATATCAACTATAGATATAGATATCTATAGATATGTTATTTAGAAAAGATAAATGAAACCCTTTTTTGTTGTTTTTAGTGAAAAGTGACGGTGTATTCGCCTTTTTTTATTATTTTTAATACTGAAATATTGGAAATAAAAGTTTTGATTGTAAAACGGGAAGATATTTTTTTTTCGGGAAGATATGATGATCAAAAAAAACCAAAAGAAAAAAAAGAGATAGAGATAAAAAGCAGTAATTCCATAAATTTTTACTGATTCAGTTTTATTATATTTTTTATTATTTTATTCATTTAGTTGTTTGTTTTTTTAATTTAGTTAAGTTTTTTGAATTTTTTCAGCAAGAAGCTTTTTTTTGGAATCGAATTTATTCCTTTTACCAACGCCACAATAATTTGACGAATTTATTATGGAGATGAATGGCGCCCACCAAATGTGCGGCGCATAGTGGTAACCTGTTCCTGATGCAATGAACCTGATGCCACAGTGGCGCTTAGTAGTTTGTCCATTTTGGTAAATTTGACATTTGAGCGTTTTTTCCCGTAGATTTTGCAGTCACTACATAGGCAGTGACTTTAGTACAATACGAATGCGACATGCGACTTATCAGTCCTTCCGCGTCTAAGTTGGACTTACGTATGCCTTAATAAGTTATGCGCATTGCTCCACAGTTACTGAATGAAGGCAAAGAGTCTTTTTTTATCATGTGGCTGTTTTAATATTATTTTTGTCTCCCAAAACTGAATTCCCCGCATTCCAAAAGTCCGTTTAATGCTTTATTCTGCACTTTAACGCAAACAAGCCAGAAGTCATTAAAAAAATTATATAAAAGGAAATGAAGTACGCAGGAAACGTCTCCAATACTTTTCTCGCTCTCTGCAGATCTCGTACCGCTTATCAATTGTCAAAATGTCATATGCTTGTCGCCCATCGTTTCGGCTAATAAAGCTTTCTTTCTTTTATTATTTTATTTTTGAAAAGAATATAAGAAAAAAAGGAAATATTTTTTTAACGTGATTCAGAAATTCACATATATTAGTTGAAATTTTAATTACTCGCCTTGAGGCAGCGCTTATGCGCTTTAGTACTCATATTCACCTGAATAAGGCGACATTTCATCACCGTCGTGCGTTCGTTGGACAATATTTTGTATCTGCTAAATCATAAAATGTAATGAGTAGGATTCATCCTTTCAGACACTTCACTGCTGTAAAGAACTGTTTTGTCTTGGCTGTTGACAATGATGTCAGTCTGACAATTCATTTCACCTCATCTCATCCCATCTCAGTTCGTCGCAGTTCCTCGCAGTTCCTCGCAGTTCGTCGCAGTTCGTCTCAGTTCATCTCAGTTTGTCTTAGTTCAAGTTAGTTCAGCTCAACTCATCATATCAGAGCCACATCATTTCTGTTCATTTGGCATATTATGTTGGAATTTGACTGCCGGGGACTTCATAAAAATTTAATTGATTGATTTATTTCTGAGAAGATGAAATTTTGTGGTGTTTTTATGCGTTTCATTGGAAAACATGAAAAATATTGAAAGCTACAAAGAAGTAGGAATATTGGATACATAAAATTCTTTTGTCATTTCATTAAAAGATTTTTTAATGTTCAATTTTAGTGCGTGTGTGCGGCAGTTTGTCGCTGTTTATAGGTGGTCAATAAAATATCTTTAATTTCAACGTTTTTTGACAAATCAATTTTATGAGTAACGAAATTTCACTAACAATTCTGTTGTCTCTTTTGGTTTATATAAAATTAATTATGCATAAAAGTCACATAAATAAACTGACCAATTGATTTTATTAACGATCGAAACATGAAGTTTGCAAGTATGACAAAGTATGTAGAGAGGATCGAGTCTTGCGAATATGAAAAAGTATATTATGAGGAATAATGATTTTTTAAACTTCCATACAACGATTCTATATAGCTAAACTTTGTAATCCCAGCAAACTTTGTAATCCCAGCAATCAGATAAACGCTTCAATAACGCTTTTAATGCGTTCCGAATAAATAGTGAAGTGCAACACTCTCACTGCACATAGCGCTTCCTATTAACATTGCCATGTCATTGGAAGAATATAAGTGCTGCACTCTCACTATGTACGGAGCTCAATTAACGCACTATTTTTTAATATGTTATTTGTTGTTGTTCAGTGGTCTTTTATAATGAAATGGACTACATCTGCATCAAAAGCGCATCTAAAGCGCGAATTGAAAGCACATTTAAAGCACTCCGTATTGTTGATACTTTTAGAAATACCAACCGTGTGGCAAAAAAGTGCTACAAAGAACCAAATAACCAAAGAACCAAGGAGAGGAAAGCGTTTTATCAGTACCTCAAATAAATTAGCTGGATTGTAGTACACTTTCTAGCTGCATTTAATATATGTCACAAGCAAGAGAATTACCGAATGGTATTTCTTATAAAACTTTATTTTATAAAAATTTTTATTTAAATTAAAAACTAAACTTAATGTCTATATTTGTGTCCTTTAGTTGGTTTAATGAATAAGAAATAAATAGTTAATGGATATAATTTTATTAAATAGCACTTGATATTTACAATATATGTAATATTGTAATATGATCAAATATGATATATAATATATATAATATATAGCTGAGGAATTATACTTCAATTTATATATATACTTCAATTTATAATGTTAAGAAAATAAAAATAAATATGTAGATAATTCCTTCGCTTCATTCAAATCAAATAATATTAAGTGATATATCCTTATAGCCTACAATATATATTGTTAGAAATCATACATTATTTCTAACAAATATGTTGATAATTCTTTCGCTTCATTAAATAATCAAATTAAATAATCAAATTAATAATCAAATTAAATCAAATAATATTAAGTGATATTTCCTTATAGCCTACAATATACATTGTTAGAAATCATACTTACTTCTAACAAATTTTATATTATTTAATTCCATTAAAATGTATATATATATATATATATATATGAATACAATGTTTTGATGTAATAATGAGTAACTTTTTCAAATTTTACAGTTAATTTTTTTATTGTGATACAATTATGGTAATATATTTCTGTCGTTACCTGCTAAAAAAATATATTTAATTTATTTAAACTTTAATTTTGATATCAGCAAATACTATTGTTCTTGACAGAATGTTTGTTTATAATTTCAATTTGAAATTTTGATCCACTTCTGGTTGTAATTTAAAAACCAACATTACTTAGTGACTCTGGAGGACACTCGATGTGATGTACCAATTTACGCACAAATTCAGCACAAACTTTTTCTCGTTTCTTGCCAACTGCAACTACCTCTGCGTGATTTGTAGTATCCTTTATGTCATACTCAAGTAAGCACTTATTAGTTATTAAACTGAAAGCAAGCACCTTCATATCACAATGTCTAGCTACCACAACTTCATGAGCCGTGGACATGCCGACCGCATCAGCTCCACATGTACGCAACATTCGCAGCTCTGCAATGGTTTCATAGCTTGGTCCACCGAGACAAGCATAAGTGCCGACATGGAAAAGTTTTTCAATTCTCATATCATCGGCTACCTTTAATGCTGTTTCGCGTAGCTCCTTATCGTATGCATTGGCCATTGGCGGAAAACGTGGTCCAAACTCTTCAAAGTTAGCGCCGTTTAATGGACTATTCCCAGAAAGTCCGAGGAAATTCACATGATCACGCAATAGCATAATATCACCAACTTTATATTTCTCATTAATGCCACCAGCTGCATTAGTTGCAATTAATATCTCAATACCAATCAATTTCATCACTCGTACAGGAAATGTGCATTTTGATAATGAATAACCTTCGTAATGATGAAAGCGTCCCTGCATCGCCAATATGGGAACAGTCTCAATATAACCAAAAACTAAACGCCCAGCATGACCTTCCACAGTCGATAGAGGAAAATGTGGTAATTTCTCATATTCGAAGGATATCGCATCGGTAAAGCCTTCCGCCAATTTACCCAAGCCACTGCCACAAATTATACCGATTCTGGGACGTATGTCAGTGCAAGTCATTATATAATCAGCTGCTTCCTTCATTTCATTGAATCGATCGGTGCTAGAAATGAGTTTTTTACATAAGGAAAGACAAATTTTGATATTTCTTAGTACTACGTACTTTGAACACGAAAGAAAAGCCATCTTTTGAATATGAATATGGAAGGATTTACCGATATATTTTTTTAGTGCTTGAGTTTTGCTGTTGTGGTTTTTTTCTAATTACATAAATCCCAAAATTTTGAAGCTATTTGAAAAAATATAGAAAAAAAATTATAAATTAATTAAAAACTTGACTTCAATTCGAAATAAGATTTTTAGACTACTTTGTTGAATCATTAAAACTAAAATTATATGCCATATATTCATTTATGAGAGTAAACTTAATTCTATATAATTCTATATATATATATAAATATAAATATATATAATCGTGTATATATGTATGTAATACAATACAATATCAAGTTCACATTCGAGAAACGCACGATCCGGTTCTTGACCGGTTCAGTGATATGAATCGTGTCAATTGTTTTCATATCAAAAACTTGGAAGAAACTTAAAAAATTGTTTGAAATTTTTTTTATTGGTTAAATTTTCACTAAAAATGTTTAAGGTTTCTAAAATATAGAGTTACAAAATGTCGCAGTTTAATTGGTACACCTTCAATACTGAATCTGTAAAAGGCACAGTTCAATTCGTACAGCACAATATTGACTTTGGATATATTAAAAACTGCGATTGGAGACTATATCTAAGGTTTTTTTTGTATGACTTCGCATAAGAAAAGTGTTAGCTGAATGTTAAACATACTTTCTATTTCCTTCAAGAATTTTCAAAAATATATAGCTAATATCGTCCCTGAATATCTGAAGACTCCATTCCGTAATTGAAGGAATTTTACATACAAATTTATTATATGTTGGAGAAGTATTAAACAGAATACCTAAAAATGTTTGTCGATATTTGGAATCGCGACTACTTATGCTTCAAACTACAAAATCATTAGTAATCACTGTTCATTAAACTTACTTTACTAAGATATATTAAGATTTTAAAATGCAGTGACTCCTCCACTAAGCGGTAAACATTTTGTCTAACATCCCAAAGAATTTAACTTACAAATATTGCAAATATATGTACCTATATACATGTCCGATATTATAGTAGATACCGATTGATCTTTACTATTATATTATATTTCTTTTAAAATGCATATTTTATATAAACATCGATATAATATATTTTACATATTATAATCTATATATATTTTTAGTAGAACTATATAATGCTATCAAAAGCAATATACTCGTTAATTCAAAGTTTTCTTAACTACTACTACTCCTCGTTAACTACTACTAGTTTTCTTGTAACTAGTGGTAGTGGTTATTATTATTATTATTATTATTATTATGAATAAGCTGTGCATGTATTGCAACCTGAGAGATCCTATGTGCAGCCTTTCGTCCAACTAGTCCAACATTCGAAAAATGTTCTGACTACTGTGGGTCATATTTTAGCCACGTGTTTAGTGTTCAAAACACTCCACTGCGTAGATAGTTAAGTCTGTGTCTTGCCACAGTTGGGCAGGCGCATAGAACGATTCCTATTGCTCTTGACAGAGTCCACAGGAATTGTTTTCTTCTAGACCACAGTTCTAGAAGAAAACAGTGGTCCACAGTTCAGTCTTGAGTCTTTATATGTTCAGGGATAATAAGTCATTTTGACTGCCGCATACCCTTTTTGGGCTCCGTAGAACTCAGGTTTTGGTTTTCCCTTTCGCTTACTAGCGTGATTTTGAAGCTGGTGTTAACACCGCAGAAGGGTTCCGGGCCTACAAAAGGTGTGTTTGCCCCCTTTTTGATCAGAACATTTGCGCTTTTATTGCATTCGTATTCCTCATGTCCCGTTATCCATAGTATAATTGACAATGATATGAATTTCTCGTCGCTAAGATATTGAGAAGATTGAAAGAGTTCCAAACCAACTTTGATTGGAAGTTCGCCATTGATCTGGAGAACAGTGGTCGAAATGAAGAGGCTGTTTTCTAAGATTTCTGTATGGCTTTGTGCTTTTAACTTTGATAAGTTTCAAACTAACTAAGCTTTTTTCAATATATGTATAAACATATAAAAGCTGTATATATAGGAGTATATAATTCGTATTTAACTATGTGCATAGCCTATATACTGATGCGTCTGTAGGCTGTCAGTCTGTATAGGTTGATAATAAAAAATTTAACTAATAAATTGATAATCATTTTTTCAACTATGTTGGTTTAGTAAAATGAAGACCAATCGCCAGGGATGAATAGTATATATTTTAGAAATTGTATTAGTAAAAAATTTGAAATATTTTTGTGTCTATTTAACATCTATTTAAATTCACATGTAAGTGCAAATGTCCTTGAATGAAAATTGTAGTAGTAATAAATCATTCTTGTTGATGCCCTTCATTTGAATATATACTCCTTTCTTTGATTTTCAAAATTTTCAATAATCATTAAAAATATTTCAATATCCTTGTCTAATTTAGCATATCTACAACGTGGAGAGTATCGAAATGTACAAATTTGAACATATTTGTAAAAATATTCTTGTCAATATTTGCATATACCATTACGGCTCAATGCAACACAACGACTACGCGTGACGGAATCCTTTGAAAATTCCTGGAATTTAAAGGAAAATCTTAAAATAAATAAAATTACATTTTTCTTCTAATATACTGTATTCAAATACAAAGGAACAGGAAAACAATTAAACGCCTCAAATCTACATACAACTTAGGTTATTATTTTTCCAAAAGGAGTTAGCATGCATGGCAGTCAGGATAAGGGAATAATTGCAAAAAATCTGCTTTTGCTACACAAATGCACTGGTATGATATGCAAAATGTATATCATTTTTCATATTTCCCTTGTCAGAGGCAATCTTTCGGTCAAACTCATTGTATAGTTTAGTCCTTTCCTATTGAGCACCTTTTGAGGTACTCGCATTAAGTCCTGTGCAAATATGCTTTGACCATACTTAATTAGTACGCAAAATATTTGTCTTAATTGTCTCAAAATAGTGCAGATTCCGAAACTTATTCAGAAAACAATAGACGAAAGGATACTTTAACTCTACTGTGCATATTAGATGTCCATGCAAGGAACAGCCAACAACAACAACATATGATAAATGGTTTTATGGGATTTTCCGGTCAGTGAATGCACGCAGCTTACCTGCTTAGCCGCTTGAGCTGTTGGTGTCCGAATAAATTGTTACCTATATTTGCACTAATTTTTCACAATTTACTGGCTTGTGAGAAGATTTGCAATATCTCTTGTATCTTTTCACAATCAACAATAGAAAATTTGTTGATTGATCCTATTTGGATATTGTCGTTGTCACTGTCAGTTGTGAGTTGTGAGTTGTGAGTGGGTCGCCTATTTTCTGTATGCGGTAAAATTATAAGCAGTTTTTCATAACTTCAACCATTGAGAATTGGTAATTGTAAAGGATTTTGCATATCCTTATCACTGCATGCGTCCAACTGGGTGCGCACCGACGAGCCAACTTACTTGTGCGAAAGATTAAAAAGGAGTAGAAGTAGGAGTAGCAATGTTTTTCTATTAGGAGTTTAGGTAGGCGGATGTATTGAAACACTTTATGAGCGGATTATCCTTGATTTAGATCAATTGTGATAGTTTAAATATTTGTTAAGCAGATCATATTTTTGAGAGGTTCTAATCTTAAGCATAGTTTTTGATGATAATAATATGTATTATAGTTATGATAATATTCAGATTATGTTTGTGCAATATTTTAAACATAACAAGAATTTCAAAAAGAATATAAACAAATCGATAGGACACAAATCGGGTAGGATACCGTTTTCTTATGCGAAGCGATTTAATGATGGGTTTTGACAAACTTCTATATTCTCAAGTACATTTGGTACTCTACTTTATATTTATATAGCCTAGTTATCGGTCCTTAAAGTAATATATTTTCACATGAAAATGAAGATCGTGTAATAACTGTAAACGTATCATATATCAGTTGTCGTTAGATGACGGGTAGAAGTTTTGTTGTTGTTGTTGTGTTCATGCTATGGCACTTAATCTATTTTTAGTCTCTTATTGTAGAGATTAAATAAGAGACTTTATAAAATTCCAGTAATTCTCTAGTACTTAAAGATATTATTTCGATTATATAGACTACAGTGAATTAGTTTTCTTTATGATATCAGATTTTAAAGTTCCAGGGTATCTACAATTGGTGAAAAGACAACTTACCAATTTAAACGAGTATAACAATCGAGACAATCAAGAGCTACTGATTAACTTCGTCGGCGGAAAAATGTTTCCACAAACAAGTGGACAAGCACACCTTCAGACGTGTTACTTAATTGTGGTTCTTGAAGGAGCTCTCCGTTCATAGAGTATAGTTTTTATGGCGGTTAAAAACTCTCATTAATAAGTATCAAAATGCTTGAGAACTATGTTCTTAATAAGAAAGTCTACTAAAATCTATTATTAAACAAAGCTCACTAAATACGTTTATACTTAATTTGAAGTTAAAGACTCGAAAAATCGAAAAGATAAATGTCAAATGTTACATTTTATACTAAACAATCACTATTCTTATTAAGTTATCAATATTTATTATAGATAAATCTATAAATCTTTTATGTTATACGAATTTTTCTCCGCATTTTAAAATGAATCGAATTAATGGCATAGAATGGAAAAGCGAATACACCTATCCACCACCACATCAAATTGATTTCCATCGATTATATCTGGCCAACAAGTATTCAATAAAAATGTTGAAAATATAATTTCCACAAAAAGCCATAAATATTAAAAACAAATAAACTAAAAAATATTTCAGAAATCTATAAATGCTTCTGGTTCCGCTGCTGCTGCTGTTGAAATGCACATTTGCCAGTACGTATTTAACAGCTTGAAAAATGTCATTAATTTGAAAATATCAACATTATTTCACGGAAACCATAAGCAAACCATTAAACGGGTTAAAATGATGCCATAAAATTTCCAATAAATTATGGAAAAACTAACATCAATTAAAAGTCGTAAAAAATGTATATGCGAACGCCATCCAAGGCGTCTTCTGCAATCGTCAGAAGCATTAGAAGGGCGACCAATATAAGGTGAATACTTACGATTGGAACAGTTCGAAGGAGAGGTAATGTAAAATGTGTCAGGAGGCTGTACTATTGGTGATAATGAACTATCAT